TGTCTCACAACTACCGAATTTCCTCTTAAGCACATATTCTTGAGATGATTTTGAGGCGAAAATCCTAATACAAAAATATCGAGGCTACAATAGTTTTTGAATTATAATTGGTTAAAGATAGTATGTAATTTCGAAAACTATTATAGTCTCGATATTTTCGCATTAAGATTTTCGTCTTAGAATGTTCAAAATCCAGAAATAATAATAAAGGCTCTAAAAGTAAAATGGGTTTTTATTTATAAGCATTTAAAGTTATAATTCAAAAAATTATTGTAGCTTTGACATTTTCGTATTAGAATTTTCATCTCAAAATTACCTCAAGAATATGTCTTTAAAAGAAAATTCGATAATTGTGAGACACCCTGTATATATATATGTTATTTTTTATTTAACAAATAGTTATTAAAATTTGGTATATTTTTTCTCATTATATATATACGTACACGCATAATAACATTCGTTTTCTTGTGCATTTCAGATTTTTTCAAAAAAAATAAAAACAAAATGAGCGATAGCGATGCTGTCGAGAAGAGTGACGAGAAAACGGATCCGGGCGCTATCAGACACGGGAACTTCATGAATTATTACCAATTCCATCCTGCGGAAGAGCGCGTGCGGCAACTTCCGCGTGGCGTGTGGCAGCGGCAACGGGTCGCTCATCCGGCCCGGAAATACGCGGGTCTAGACGTCGGCTGTAACGCCGGGGTAAGAGCGGCGGCGGCACATCAGCTGTCGGGGGACGTATGGGCCAGGTCAGGCCAGGCCAGGCCAGGCTAGACCAGGCCAAAACGGGATGATTCAGCCTTCGTGATCCGAAACTACAAACGGGCGCGTCTAATTTTGGTCAAGTTATCCCCTTTCAGCTTTTCGTTCTCGCAACGGGCATCCGTTTCCGGAATCTGTATCCTTTGTCCTTGTTAGAAATTTCCTGTTCATTTTCTCTTTCTCTCTCTTTTCCTCATTTCTCTTTATTGAAGCTAATTTCTCGTTTTCTTCATTATATGGAACGCTTCACAACTGTCGTGTTTCCTCTTAGTTGGAGATTGCTTAGATAATTTGAAGGGGAACTCTTATTAAGAAAATACAACGTGTGCCTAATTTGATTATTCTATTTCTAATATTTCAAATGTAAATTAGAAGATGTGGATTGAATGTTTATCTCCATATTTATTACTACTATGTCAATACAAAATACTAAATAATAACTTCGATAATCAACTTAAAATTCTTTGGTGCGATGTTTAGATGTTGACAGTCTCTATGTGTTTTTCAATTTATTTAAATTTATTTAAATTTATTTTTTAATTTATTTAATAAAAATATGTATTAATAACGACATGTTGAATTTTCATTAGATAAAAATAATTTTAGATTAAATTCTACTCTAAACATGCGTATGTTTAAATTTCAATTCTTATATATATACAAGGACAAACTGAACGAAAGGCAATTCTTTGTATATAAAAAAAATCGAAAATGTAAAATAAACTTTTTTCGTCCAAGGTTTTGTTTCTATAACTAAAAGGATATTATATATATATATGCACATGTAAATTTTATATATTAAATTTAAGTTTTCGCTCAGTTATATGACGTGTTTTACAGGATCTCACATACATTCTACGAGACTTCCTCGAGGAGGCTATGTCGCAAGATCAGCCTGAGATCTCCTTAATCGGCGTGGATCTCGACCCGATCCTGATCGAGAAAGCGCGCGAGCGCAATCCGCGCCCGGATCGCGTGACCTTCGAGTGTCTGGACTTTTTGTCTGAGGATTGCGGCGAGATGCTGAGGCGGTATCTGACGCAGCTTAATAAAACGCGATTCGACGTGGTGTTCTGCTTCTCGATCACTATGTGGATTCACCTGAATCACGGCGACGACGGCCTGGAGGAGTTTCTGCGAAAGGTCTGCGAGCTGACGGAAATGATCGTCGTCGAGCCGCAGCCTTGGAGATGTTACAAAAACGCTTCGAGACGACTACGAAGAGCGAAATTGGGGGACTTTCCGCTGCTGAAGGAACTGAAATACACCAGGAATCCGATGAAGCACATAGAAGATATTTTGAGGAGACTGTGCGACTTTCAAAGAGTCACTGTTACTGCGGGCAACGAATGGGGACGCATGCTTTTAATTTATGAAAGGAAACAGAAATCGTAAAATATATGAGCAAATGCGTTACGTATTATACATTCAGAATCATAAATTAGTACATAAAATACATTCAACATTGTATATCAATTGCAAGTGTACGCCATACGTATCTAAATATTCATGTATCATAACTGTGTATGTATATGTGTGTGTTTTGTATTGACATAGCAGTAATAATTTTCCTCATTCAAGTGTAGATAACGATAGGCCATTTGTAATAAATAAAGCTCTTTAAATTATAAACGCATGAGGTGTTCACGTGCGTCATCTTTTAGCTGATTATTTTCTTCTTAATGCTTTGTTTATTTTTGAACATTTAATAAATTCTTATAATTCGAATTCATACGAACGAAATTTAAACACATATAAATTTTGATCGACGATACGTTTTATGTGATATTCTCCTTACGTTATATTCCCTTTTATATTTTGTTTATTTTTGAGAATTTATATTTTCATAATTTAAATCTTTGGATCTAACTTTCCATCAATCAGAGGAGTGAGAATTTTTCATTCTTTGTTCGCAACTTCATTGCAGATTTTTGTTTCGGAAGGTATAAAAATTTTTAACATACTTGTGAAAGATTTTTTTTGTGAGGAATAACGAGTTTTTACTATCATAGAAGTTGGATTATATTATACGTTACTTATTTTTTACTTTAAATTTATCTATCAGAATTTATTAGGTGGTAAACTTAATTTTTGTTGTTTTTTCGTATTCAAAATTGATTTATTTTGAAGAGAAGATGAATGAATACCTTAATCAAAGTAAAGGCCTCCATTTTCTATTATTTTTTCTCATCTCTCCGGCAACAGGGCAATCGCACGATGGTAGAACGGGGTGTCTTTTGAGACGATCCATTCATCCACTTATTTTTTGACTTCTTCGTAACTAGAGAAGTGTGTGTCCGTAAATGCGTGTTGCATCGATCGGAAGAGATGGTAATCCGACGGTGCCAAGTCTGGACAGTACGCTGGATAATGCGGGAGGATTCCCATTCAAGCTCTAGAAGTGTCTGCTTCACACTTTTCACAACATGCAGTCGAGCGTTACCATCTAACAAAATAACTTTGCATCGATTGTTAGCTGGTCTTTTTTGCATCAACTTGTTACTCAATTGCCATAATTGCCGTTGATAGCGATCAGCTGTAACGGTTTTATTTAGACGCAATAGTTCGTAATATAGCACACCCTCCTGGTCCCACCAAATGCAGAGCAAGATCTTAGGTCTGCGAATATTCTTTTTCGGCTTTGAAGTGAATGGTTGGCCGGGGCAAGAATTAAGTTTATCACCTAACACATGTAAAGAAAATCGAAACAATAGGCGCATTCAGCGAACTCAACAGGTTTGTTCGCGTCACATGCTCCAGCATGTTCCAATATGCTCCTATCATAGCTCCTACTCACTCCAATGCGCTTATTAGAGTGAGTAAGAATTATGGAAGGAGCATGTTGGAGCATGTTGGAGCATGCGACGCAAACAAACCTAACAGTTGAGTGAGCTATTATTGGTGTATTCTTTTAGATCATCCAATCAGTATTATAGACCTGGAAGAATACATCAATAGCAGTAAGCGCTCAGTGAGGCCCAGTTCTACAACTCACGAGATTTGTTCGCGTCGCATGCTCCAACATGCTCCTACTTTGTCCAATCGTAGCTCCTACTCACTCAAATGCGCCCGTTAAAGTGAGTAGGAGCTATGGTAGGAGCATGTTGGAGCATGTTGAACTATGTGACGCGAACAAACCTACCTTAACTCTTAACCAAGGTTCAATTTGTTTCTCATCTCTTTCCAATTCTAGAATTAATCGTGAGTTGTGGAACTGGGTTGGAACTCAACTATTGAGTTTGCTGAACGCAACCTATGCCTTTGAAGTCCGACAAAGGCTCATTTTCACAATATATGGTTACTTAAAGCTTAAAGGTAACCAAAAAATTCATGAATGAATTTCATATTGTGAAATCGGGCCAAAGAGTTAAATTATGTATAATTTTTTAATTCTATAAGGGTCTCTTTCATCAACCTCGGTTAAACTAACCGACGGTTACATGGGGCTCATTTATCAGGCCCAGTTTCACAATTCATGGTTAACTTTTAACTTTTAACTTAAAATAAGTTGTATAATACTTATTTTAATACATAGGTATTCAAACCGAATCGGCGTATAGAAATAATAATTGTATTTATATAGCAATTCAACTACCTAATTAGTATAATTTTTTAGCAGTTTTACCTTATTATATTCCTTCTGATATTTACTCGATTTTTGAAGATGTAAATTTTTATCGATATAATAATAATAATTATTATTATTATTTTAAAGGAAAACAGTGCCGCGGTAATTATCATCAGTTGATGAAATCACTATGTACTTATCGACGATAAGTAAATTATCAACATTACTGATGGTCTGCACCGATAGAAATTTAAATCACCAACCTCGGTTAAACTAACCGACGGTTATATGGGGCTCATTTATCAGGCCCAGTTTCACAATTCATGGTTAACTTTTAACCGAGGTTTAACTTAAAATAAGTTGTATAATACTTATTTTAATACATAGGTATTCAAATCGAATCGGCGTATAGAAATAATAATTGTATTTATATAGCAATTCAACTACCTAATTAGTATAATTTTTTAGCAGTTTTACCTTATTATATTCCTTCTGATATTTACTCGATTTTTGAAGATGTAAATTTTTATCGATATAATAATAATAATTATTATTATTATTTTAAAGGAAAACAGTGCCGCGGTAATTATCATCAGTTGATGAAATCACTATGTACTTATCGACGATAAGTAAATTATCAACATTACTGATGGTCTGCACCGATAGAAATTTAAATCCTCGGAATTCGAGATAGTGTCAATAATATACGAATATCGTCGCTCCTATCGTAACTCTTGAAACGGTCATAAGTCATAATCGAGAATAACAATAACAATAACGATATTCCTAATATGAATTCTGCGAGCAAGGTGAATATAAAAACTAACAATTTCGGGCAGTTATTATTATATTTTATTCTTATTGTTTCACGATTCTTTTACAATGATGAGCAAAAACTTGATACATTCGAAAAAAGAAAGTGTTAGTGTGTATTTTTAGGTTAAACTAACAGTGACAAAAATTTTAATTTATTATAACTTGTTAATGAATACATATAAGTTTTAATTTAATATAATTACCGTTAATGAATACATATAACTGTTTAGATTAAAAATATTATTCATGTTTAGGTGGGTGAGATCTTTGCTGCAGCTGGAGTAGCCTTCAATAAGCTAGGTGAGCTAACCATGCAGCTCCATCCCACATCAGATTCTCTTGCAGGGTAAGTTAGACATAAATATTGTCATAACCTGTAATATATTTGGTAATTGTTTGAAGCAAAAAATTTAGTTGATGTTTCAAAAGTCAAGTAATTCTGACAAAGCTATGTGAAAGATTTAGAGTTCTGGCATAATTATCATGGAAATATTTGTATAGGATGATTCTCTGATAGTATATTGTATTCATTTCATTTGAAAAAATGAAAAGAGCTCAAGAGCTCAACATTTTATGAAGAACAAGATAGCTTGTGACGATTCAATCAGGTCTCCGAGTAAAAAGATTTGCATAGAATATTTTTGAATTATTATGATCGTCACAAAATAGCTTTTCTTGTTTCTTAAGTTTGCAATATATGCCACTGGAGTATTATTTTGTACACAATTATAGTAGGCCCCACGTTCTTTTCATAATTTCCTATACCCCTCGATGTGTAGTAAATGGGCTGACGAGGATATTGAGATGCTCCGTCAGTCGGTCAGAGCCTTCAGTGAAGAATTGAGCAGAATAAGCGAGCACATCAAGAGTCGGACGGTGTAAGTTTTCACACGCTGCCATCATGGCAGTCAGTCCGAATCTCACACCGAACGTATTGTTTTCTTTTCCAGCTCTCAAATTCGAACAACCTTGAAGAAGAAGACGTTTGAGGAAGCGGGAATGACGGTCAGGCAACAACAGATTCTACCTCAGCAGGCGCAACAATCCACATTAGTTCAGCAACAGCAGGTCGTGAAGCAACAATCGACGTCGGGAAACCAGGGTCTTATGGGAAAATCGGCGGAAGTCACACTAAATATGCTAAATGCACCTGAAACGGAAGTAGACGTTGAGGGACTTCCCGAGGAATGTCAAGTTAAGCTCGAATTTGAAGAAGGCGCTACTGAAGAAGTCACTGGTTAAACTAGTTCATTTGTTCACGAGTAAAATAAATGACGGAAAATCTGGTGATACCATCTTCATTTTTGATCATAACTTGTTCATTGAACATTCGAATTTTAACTAGTTTTAAGCATCAGTCTCGTATAAACTCATAAGTTACCTTTTTGCAATAAATGTATAAAAATCTAGTTTGGTGTTATTCGGCATCCTTCTCTTTGTTCATTAAATATAAGTTTTACTTATTTAGAGAAGTATAGTTTATAACTGAGATACAGTCTTTCAATGATGTATTATTTTTTAGCTAAATGTGTGAAAAAATTAGAAAAAATTGCAATTTTTTCTATATTTATTGTACTGGAAAGTGATACAAAGAATTGATTTAAAATCGACAACTAAGAATCTGAATAAAAAATTATTTTAATAAGCAGTGGACGTGTTTTTAAAAAATAATTAAAATAAAATGAGAATATTTAAAATTTAAAATTGTATTGTTAAATATAAATATTGTGATCTCTCATTAAACTATTATATATATATATATATATATATATGAATACTAATTCTACATGAAACTTAGATAGTTGTCACCTTTATATAAAAAATATTTTTAGACTTCCGGAAAATAAAATACGGAAGTATAAAAATCAGTTACAAATAATTGAATTTTAGTTATTTGCTTCGTCTCGGTTGGTACTTCGATTGATATACCAAATAGGGATATTTTGTCACATGTGAGAGAGCTAGTGGCCTATATCGATGTGTGTATCTCGTTGAATGACTCATACCGACGCACCATGGCACCAACTGACTGACAGATTAACCGATCAACAATGACAGTACTCGGCAGCAACCGCGCGATGCAGTGAGAGTAGTCGATCGGTGTCGTTCCATCGATCGTGGCCGATCACTGGG